ACTGCTCTAACCACTAGGCCAACATTCCCCCAATAATTTGAGAGGGTAAATAAGATGATCTGCCAATGCAATTAGTATTTTTACACTTACAATAAGATTATTAAAGAACATGTACTTACTTATATTTACATCTTTTGGAGTGTAAAGACACTAGTTAGACACTACTTTGTGCAGTTTTCTTAAACTAAGATAAACACCTTATATAGAGTATGAAACTAAAAGCCTGAAATGTGCCTCAGGTTACACATTGTTCTTAAAGTGAAAAAAATTGGAACATCCATATATTAGTATAATATAAACAAAACATCTTAAGAGTATTACTATATAATTATTATTATATTAAAAATTATTATTTTAAAAAGTTGCAATTTCTAATTATAAATAAATTTAGACACGTTTTATTGGGACTTTAAAAAGGTATAAAGTAACCCATAGATTTAAATCTGCAAAAGAACATGACAACAATGTGCTGTGTGATTAATTTGTTTGGCTAGGTATGCTTCAATTTATTGAAGTACGAGTGAACATCATGGTTTGATGTCTGAGGCAATAGATAAGGGAAATAGTCTACAAGTAGAGGACATTAAGATAACACTAACATGTATAAATTTGGTCATTTTAGTAAACTGACCAGAAAAATATACCACATGATGTTGGGGGAAAACAACTCCAAAACCACACAAAATATTCTTGGAAATTAGATATGTTTCCATTTGCTGTGAGATCAATGGAGGCTCAACTTAAGCAATTTTCAGTGCTCAGCTGAACCTCAGTGTTTCCCACAGAGTAATCCTGTGGTTTTGTTGACATGTTTTGCTATTGCCTATGCCTTTTGGTTAGAGCTGCCTTTCAGAGAAAATGCCTTTGCTGTGTTATTAGCATCTGTAAGACCTTGCTCCAAGCCAAAGTCCTATAGTGAGTCTTGAATACGCTGTAGGATAAGAAACTGAATTAACTCAGGTTTGTCCATACTGGAGGTTCAAGGGGAGGTTAAGTTGGACCAAGACGTTAAATAGTTTCGACTTAAAATATTAATAAAAATCTAGGTCTTTTGTTATATATATATCTATATTGAAAGAATACATCAGCAACATGAGGTTGATCCAACACATTCTGCCTGAAGTTGTTAAAAATATTTACAATTTTTTTGGTCTGGCATACTTCACCAGCTAAATAAAAAAAACATCTGGGAGCGATGTGTTACTCAATGAGATGAATGATTATTCCAGCAAGAAATCTATTAAGCTAAACAAATGTTTGAAATGTATGCTTAGAATTATATGTAAAGTGTTGTAGATAATGACACATCCTGAGGCAAATTATTACAATTGAGTTATTGCGACTTTAAATTGTAGGCAAACTAAAAAAAATATCAATTACGTGGAGTGTTATGGAGACAGAACAGTTCATGAATTTAAAACGCTAACTTCTCTATGCTTCTTTAGTAAAAGTCCCAAGTTCGTTTGTTGCTTTTGTCTGTAATATCCAAATCAATGTTATACAACATTGATGCAACTCAGCATCAATTGATTAATTGGGATGCAACTCAGCATTTTTCTCTCTTCAAACACAATGAGGTGAGTTTATGCCGAAAAGTTACATTTTGGTTTCAGCTGACCAAACGATTTACTCAATTTCCTATTCTGGATCATCTAAATATACTGCCTCTGGCAAATGTCAGATGAGCCTGAACATGTACTGGCTTAAGCAGGGGGACAAACATGGCACTGCAGGATATAAGTCCCTCTGGGTGTTGTGAATTACTGATGGTAGCCTTTGATACTTTGGGCCTCTCTCATATTGTTAAGTTGTCGTTGCTGACTACATAATTTTCCCCCCCACTTGGGTAAAGTTAAGGAATAAGGCAATGCACAAAAAAGTATGTAACATCTATGTATTCAAAACACAATATATGTTATGAAGGTTCCCACGAAGAAGATAATGTTCCTTGTACTGATTATCCCATTTTTCAAACTAAATGTCTGCAACTGCAGTACTTAATCCCAGACAAAAGTTTATGCCTGTAAAATTACACCAGGATACTTATCATGAACTGTCTCTGAGCACCGTGGAAGGCGTCTATTGAATCCTAAATCCTCCTTTCATTCTTACATTCTGGCATTAACATTCTGGGACATTGCCATTAGTATCTACTTGTACCTTACACATTCTGATCTTGGGTTATGTGAGTTTTATGTTACTTACATAACTTGAGTTACCTCTTTAATTGCCTTTTTTATGTTATGGAAACCACCATGTGTGTTGAATAAATCTAATCAGTTATCCAGAAGCAGTAACAGGAACCTATTGCGGCTTAATCTCCTGATGACAGACAAGATTCATTACCCAGAGGTAATTACACAGCTACCAAAAAGACAGAGTTTGGCTGAATCAGATATCGTTTAGATTGTGCCTTTACTCACTTTTACATTGCAGTCAAACACTGACATTGTGGCCCAAGGTAATGCATCAGTCAGTGTGAGTATCTCTTTTTAGGTTAACCTACTGAGACAACTGAGGGCTGTTTGGACGTTTGTCCTTTCTGTTTCTGTGTATTTTTTTATGGAGGACAAGTTCAAAAACAATGCCTTGCGAATAAGTGAATTAGTGTCTCTGATTGTTATGGGTCTATGACTCATAACAGTATATGTGTAAGATCCAGCTGTTCAAAAAATAAACATACACAATCAGTTGATGAATGAAATGAGTAAGTATATCGTTCGGCCTCACTGGTTACTAGATGCCAGAGTCAGAAATTTGACTTATTGCTCACTGAACACAACAATCTAAACAATACCAGGTCTCACTAACAGATTCCTGTTTATATCGATGTTTTTTCAGTCACAATTGTGAGTTTTACTTGCTTTCAACATTACTAAGGGGAAAGGAAACGGAGACAGTGTTTTCTTAGAAGGAATGTTTTTGCCTTTCTGCTTGTCTGGTTTTAACCTCTGTCTGCTAAGAAACATGTTGAAGTCAGACGCTTTTTAAGCCAATCAGTAATATAGGAGGTAGGCTAAAAGTTTATATTCTCTTCAAAATGGCATAGTCATGTTATAGGCCTATATATAAAACTCCCCCCCAAAAAAAATCACTCGATCACCATAAAATAAGGTAATATACACCAAACGTCCATGCTTAGAGTGTTTTAACTCCTGCACAAGAAGATGAGCAGACATAAACAGATGTGTGCACCATCTGTTCACAGATCACAAAACTATTAGAAAGCTAGATCTCAACAATGGACACAGCTAACTATTGCAGCCTGATCCTCCTGCAAAACTGATATTAATTAATTAGACAGATCTACAACATCTCTACATTTTGGTGAATCCTCCCCATCAGCATATCAAGAAAAAAGTAACATTTCTGATCCTAACAAATGCAAACAGAGACCCAGCATCAACAAATGAACAATTTCTATTAAGTAAATAAAACAAAGTCACAGGCTATATCCTTTTCATTTGAATGGATTCAACTTAACACATCAAAATGCTATTTCCTCGTTAGTTCATTGTTACTGAGACCGGGATCTGATTTTAAATATTATGGATTCTACACTCTGCTTCAAATGGTAACAACTACTGTAATTAAATCAAGTTAATCCAACTTATTAAGTGTATCAGTTGAAAACTCGAATCAATTACGTTGGATAAACTCAATTTAAGTACTTCTTGCCAGTTGAAGCAATTAATTTACATTGGAGCTACATTTTCTTTTTAGAGAGGCAGCTGTGATGGAAAACTGACTGGAATCAAACATATCTTTGCACTCTTTCACACTTGATCTTTTTTATCATTATTCTAAAATTCCATTGACACAGCCCCATTAATTTACGAATTATGCATGTGCAAAGGTTTTTGTTGTCATTGTAAATATCTATAACAGAGGGGCTTTCTTGCTAAAAGAATTGAGCAAAATAAAATAAAAATAAAAAATAATATGCATGACTATGGTAGTTTTTCAGAAAAATAACCTTTGTATGCAACAAGAGTAAGCTACTGGCATATACTGTAAAAAAATCATAAAACAAAATCCTGTTTCATTCATCCATTTTCCATCACGCTTATCCCAAGCAGGGTCGCGAGCTGTCTATGGGCGAGAGGAACGCCCTGGACAGGTCGCCAGTCCATCGCAGGGCAAGCTCCTGTTCCTTCATAAGTATTGTTAATAAATGACTGGTTTTAATAGAAAGGTTGATAAAAGCATCATGCGAAAACAAAATTTCTTGGTCTAAGCTTTAAATGAACTTCAGATTACCTTCAAAAGGTTTATTAGTACATCTATACAGAAAAAAGCAAAGGTCTTGATTCCAAATGTTGTTAAGTGCAAAATAGGTATCACAAATCACAAAAAAAAAGAATAACATAAAACCTCTGAAGTGGAAATGTTCAAAAAGGTTCAGTCCCAGGCCCCCTGACACAACTCCTTGCCATGTCCTTCCCAGGGGTGGGGAGCTGGTGATGAAGTTTTTAACAGCTGCTTAAGGGATACTAAAAAAGGTAATAACATCAGACAGGAGGCTGAGGAGCTGACAACTGATTTAACCTGTTAAGTCCAGAGGGTTTTATAAGACATCTCCAACTGAATATATATATATATATATATACACAGAAAAAATATACAAAATATTTTCCACTTTAAAGATTATTGCAGATATTATTTTACCAGATGCCATAAATTTTACGTATTTAAACCTGATGAGCGCAGCATTCATTGTTATTTTTGTGGCTATGTTTTCATAGTGTTAAGGCAGAATGCATCGTCCTCTTTAACTTTTGAACAAAATATTTTATTTGGCGATCGTTACTCAGAGCAATGGACAGATGGATGGATGGATGCATGCATGGTTGGATCGATGGATGGATGGTTGGATGATCGAACATTTTCCTTGCTTTTATCTCTTAAGTCAAAAATAGAAGCTAGGATTGGATTGAATGTAACAATAGAAATAATAAAGCTGCTGGAGTTTAGATACATGATGCAGATAATATCTTTACCTGTCTAAAGCGATGCAGCATAGGTGCAGTATAGATGCGGTGGTCAGAAGAACATCCAGCGACGTCCGAACCAGGCAGAAAGTCTCGCCGTAGATCCAGTGCTGGTGGACCAGCTCAATGGCACCAAATGGCATCACGAGCACTGACACAAGCAAGTCAGCAAATGCCAGCGACACTATGAAATAGTTGGTCTTTATTTTCCTGTTGGACAGACAGTAAGATATAAAAAAAAAAACATTAAAAGATTTGTACACAATAAAAATTTGATTTTTTTTAGGGTTCAGTCAGCATACAACAATAAATGAGCTGTTGATCAAATATGTGAAATTGAAATGAATATTTCTTTTTGTTGTTATTTACGCTGAGTGAAACCAAACGCAAAAAGCCAGTGTCTAATATAGAAACAAATGCACAGTAATAGAAAACAAGAAGCCTTATGGTCAAAAAGGACACACAAAATCAAATCAAATATTTATGTTGCTTTGAAGGCAGCTAAACATTTTAATCACATGTTATAACAGAAAAACATTTTAGGCAAAATCAAACAACACACTGAAAAAATATAAATGACCAATATGTTTTGAACAAACAAATTTTTATTCCATAAAAATCAAGCACTCCATCCATCTGCCAGGGTCACGGTGGGGCTGGCGCTTATCTCCGGCAGTGTATGGGCGAGAGGTGGGGAAAACCCTGGACAGGTCGCCTGTCTGTTACAGGGCAACATAGAGAAACACAACCATGAACACACACATGCATCTCACATAAGGACAGTTTAGAGGCGCCAGTTATCATATATATATATATATATATATATATATATATATATATATATATATATATATATATATATATATATATATATATATATATATATATATATATATGTGTGTAGTAAATGGGTAAGTTGATATGGTAGGCCATATTTATTATAAGCACTCTTCTCTCAGTTGCTCCATTTTTAAATCACCAAATAGGATTCTTCCAGATAAAAAGAAGATTCCTAGTTGGAACTTTGATTTTCTAAATACATTTTTTTCCAGCATAAACTGTAATGATTTCGGCACTGATGCTGGGCTGATCACTCATTCCATACACCTGCTCACCACCTGTTCCACAATCAGCTCTCACCGGCTTCACCTGTTTCCTTCACCTTATATACACCATCAGACCAGTCATAAATGCCAGATTATCTCACACCAACCCAGTAAGAATAATCTAGCATCTCTGTAAAGTATCTGTTGTCCGCCCTTTTACTGACTCGTTCCGTCTCCTGATACTGAGCCTGCCTCATCCTGTTCTGACTCTGCCTGCCTGGATATCCTCTCTGTTTTGCCTCTGGACCTCTGGATCCCTGAATCTGTCTGGCTGGACTGCCTGCTTCCATCTGTCTGGAACACAAACTCGGAGAAGCCCTGCAAAAACTGTCTGCCTTCCTCTCCTGGATCACGAACTGGTAAAGCCTCACACATCTGCCCGCCTGTCTGCCTGCAGTCTATCTGCTCCACTCAGATTTAGTCCCACTCTCCAAACAAGCTGTTAAACTGTTTTCAAATGTCACTGACCTGTCTTGGTTATATTTGGATCCAGACTCTGTTCTTCACATAAACTTAATTTAAGACAGTAAAAAACACTAAATTGTACTAGTAGGAATTACATTTTAGATACCTAGAAATGTTCATAGATTTAAAGTGGCTATTTTGGTATTTATCAGCTTGACTGAAAATGTATTTAAGATATCTGAGAAACATTTGTTTCTTAGCAAAATAATAAAAAATATGACTGCTGTTTTCATACATATCAATTTTCTCTCACCAATATGAATTTCTGTTACCTATCTGTTAAGGAAGTCTGTGTAATGCTGCTAATGTAAGGATGGATAAGGTCTGATGTATGTGATTGTGAGGTGAAACGGTAGCACTAGTGAGCATAACTTTCTGAATATAAAGAACATCTATACGCAGTCTGAGATCCTGCTCCCTATAAATAGTTGATCTTTTATGAATTAATGCCACTCAATCTATAATTGGATCATCGTCAGAAGGGCATACTATGTTTGTGTTTTTAACACCTAATGTCTCTAACAGACCTAAAGACTAGTTTTCACTGTTCACGCCAAACTACAACAGAAATGTCCAGATTAAATCGGGAAATCAAAAAACGTGATTGGCTTTAAAGGAGGGTGGAGACAGAGGACACACTGAGGGTGTGTTCGATTTCAGCGGCCGCATGCTCCAAGGACCCAGTGTACTTGGACTGGGTCCTTCTAGGTCTGTGAAAATAAGGAGACTGGTAGAGTTTGGATATGGATTCAAACAGGTCCAGCCTTCTCTGGCAGAGAAGCAGACAAAAATGGATGATGATTCTTACTACTGTTCTGTGTGCTAATTACATTGGCAAGCAGCTTCAGCAGAAGTATATCATATTTACAGTCCTCACTCTGAAGGGATATTGGAATATGTGCTTTAATGGCAGCCAACCCTATTTGCACAGGGACAGATAAATTCTTTCAATAAACCAAACATTACCCGCCACATATCTGACTAAATGTCTATTTAAAACCAATATTGTCATTAAGTTCAGGTGGAACGATTCCCATACTACAGGGCCACTCTGGAGGATCTGCAGAAAACCACAGCTCATGTATGAGAAGTTGCTGACAGTATTGTATCAACAAATCTGGTCTCTATTTCAGAGTAGCAAGAATAGCTCCATTACTGAAAGAAAGCTATAAGATATGGCTTTTGCAGTACACCACAACATGTAGAGAAAACAGCAGGCCTAAATATGGAAAGGAAGTGCTCTGGTTTGTTGAAGCAAAAATAAACTATCCTCTTTTTACACAAAATAATATTTGCGGTAAGAAGGAACCTAAAGCCGCAACTTTACTTTGAACCGACTAACCTCAATATGAAATGTGATGGTGGCAAGAAAAGGGAAATGAGTTCCGCATAAAAGAGAGTGAAGCTTTGTAGAGTTCAAAGCTAGACGGATTGTCCCAAATACAAGGTAGTGGGGGAAGAAAATCTCTTTGAGACTAGAAAAATCGTATGACTAAGATGGAACTTCAAGTTTCAGCAGAAATAAGGATTTAAAGTAAAACAGGTTTGCATTAGAAGGCCCCCAAAAACCCAAGGTCTAAATCAAACTGAGTATTTAATTATTTGAAATTAATATATTCATGCAATCTGCAACCAACCTGACAAACTTGAGCTGTTTTTTTTAATAATGGGCAAAACACTTCAGTCTCAAGAAGTGAATAAATTACAGAGGTTTTTTTGGCTGCAATATTGCCAAAGTTGAAAAATTCTCAAAACTTTAACAACCAAGCATTAACTCCTGATATGTTTTCCATCCATCCATTCATTTTCTGTCACCCTTATCCCAAGCCGGGTCACGAGGGGTGCTGGTGCCTATCTCCAGCTGTCTATGGGCCAGGGGTACACCCTGGACAGGTCGACAGTCCATCGCAGGGCTGATATGTTTTCTTTTTACCCAATTTTATTACAATTAATTTTGATCTGCTGAGTATTAGTCTGCAAAGCCACTAAACATGTCTAAATCTAGACAAATGACCTCATCCTCACCAGAGTATCCTCCACTTTACCCTTAATTGGGATTAACTTAGAATACGAAATGCAATCAAGATAATACTGTGTTCGTCATTAGTGCTGGACTGCTAGGTGCAATAAAATGGGGCAAATCACTGCAGGGTACATCCTCTCAAGCTCACAGAAAGCCTTCAAGAAGACATTAACACCTCTTTTTATCATTAGAATAATAATGTTTTTGTCATGAAAAAAAGGAATTGCAAACTAAGTCAAATTAAAATGATAGAGCTTCTTCAAACAGTAAGATTAGGAAAAAGTTGGAGAAAAATAAAACTGAAAATGAGTTGCTTTACACAAAGAATCATAGGTTTTAGAAAAATGTGAGAAAGCACTGAAAACAGGGAAGAGGTTGAAGACGAATGCATCCATCTTCTTGCTTAAAAAAAAATTTAAAATAAAAGTAAAAATGGCCAGAATGGTCAATACGTCTTCAGCACCTGGGCAGTTCTATAAATGTTGTAAACTACAAAGAGGTGAGAAGATTAAGAATTTGTCTTCCTGCAAAAGGAAGACAAGAGTGTAAAAAAAGTCTAAAACCAAATACACCTTCATTGCTCATATACACTATATTGCCAAAAGTATTTGCTCACCTGCCTTGACTCACATATGAGCTTAAGTGACATCCCGTTCCTAATCCATAGGGTTCAATATGACGTCGGTCCACCCTTTGCAGCTAGAACAGCTTCAACTCTTCTGGGAAGGCTGTCCACAAGGTTTAGGAGTGTGTTTATGGGAATTTTTGACCATTCTTCCAGAAGCGCATTTGTGAGGTCGCACACTGATGTTGGACGAGAAGGCCTGGCTCTCAGTCTCCGCTCTAATTCATCCCAAAGGTGTTCTATCGGGTTGAGGTCAGGACTCTGTGCAGGCCAGTCAAGTTCATCCACACCAGACTCTGTCATCCATGTCTTTATGGACCTTGCTTTGTGCACTGGTGCACAGTCATGTTGGAAGAGGAAGGGGCCAGCTCCAAACTGTTCCCACAAAGTTGGGAGCATGGAATTGTCCAAAATGTCTTGGTATGCTGAAGCATTCAGAGTTCCTTTCACTGGAACTAAGGGGCCAAGCCCAGCTCCTGAAAAACAACCCCACACCATAATCCCCCCTCCAACAAACTTTACACTTGGCACAATGCAGTCAGACAAGTACCGTTCTCCTGGCAACCGCCAAACCCAGACCCGTCCATCAGATTGCCAGATGGAGAAGCGCGATTCGTCACTCCAGAGAACGCGTCTCCACTGCTCTAGAGTCCAGTGGCGGCGTGCTTTACACCACCGCATCCGACGCTTTGCATTGCACTTGGTGATGTATGGCTTGGATGCAGCTGCTCGACCATGGAAACCCATTCCATGAAGCTCTCTGCGCACTGTTCTTGAGCTAATCTGAAGGCCACATGAAGTTTGGAGGTCTGTAGTGATTGACTCTGCAGAAAGTTGGCGACCTCTTCGCACTATGCGCGTCAGCATCCGCTGACCCCGCTCCGTCAGTTTACGTGGCCTACCACTTCGTGGCTGAGTTGCTGTCGTTCCCAAACACTTCCATTTTCTTATAATACAGCTGACAGTTGACTGTGGAATATTTAGGAGCGAG